ACGCTCATGCATATGAAATGTCAGGCCGCGTGTTCGTCGCCAGATAGTTCAATTCTCCCACCAAAGCCCTATACTCGGTGGGATTGCCCAGCAGCTCCTCTCCGTCCCCCTTAGGAGTGTACCTAAAGCCCGGAGGCAAAGGGGTAGACCTCGGCTTGGCGTCAATCATCCTATGACGCTCCAACAGCTGCGCAATATACCTATGCTGCGACAACACTATCTCACCCGACTTCTCCCTCCTAATTTCCATGCCCAAAAACACCTTCGCTTCTCCAAGGTCGCGCACCTTGAAGACCTTCGCAATTGCAGCTTTAATTGCCCGGACCATTTCCGGGTCTTCCGACGCAACAATAGTATCATCTACGTGCACCAAAGCAATAACAACCCCTCGCTCGTCAGTCTTAACAAACATCGCCGGATCCGACTTCGAAGGATAAAGACCCAACTTGGCGAACTCTGCTGATAGCTTTTCATACCAGCAACGGGGTGCCTGCTTAAAACCGTAAATAGACTTCTGCAGCTTGCACGCAAGCGACCGGTCACTGGATGCATACCCAGGCGGTTGCTCCATCCACAACTCCTCCTTCAGCTCACCATTCAGAAACGCAGTAGACACATCTAGCTGATGCACCGTCATGTTCCGCGCTGCGGCAACTGCTAATAAAGCACGTAATGACGAACCACGAGAGGTGGGGCAAACAACTCCCCATAATCAATCCCCTCACGTTGCTCGAAACCCTTGGCAACTAAACGCGCCTTANAACGCTCCACGCTGCCGTCATCACTGTACTTGACCTTATATACCCAACGACACGGCAACAAACGAGTACCAGGAGGTGGCTTCTTCAGCTCCCAAGTACTATTAGCCATCTGGGCGGCGATCTCCTCGTCCATCGCACGCCGCCAGTCGTCTGCATGTGGACTTGCAATTGCTTCCTCAAACGAATTAGGCTCAGGAATACCAGCAGAGAAAGCAGCGTTAACGCGACCAGTGACTGTGCGAC